TATATTAGTCAGATTTCTAAAGTAAATCAATAAAAAGATTGATAAACTATTTAATATCAGTCTTATAAGTATAAATAAAAAGCCTGAATAATTACTAGAAGAAATAGAAAATCTAAAAATAAAAATTAGAAATTCAAATTAATAAATAGATACTTTAGTAATAGAAAAAGTTAAGTATAATCTATTACTTGATAATTAATAGATAAAGTAATTAAAAGCTATTTTAAACTAAAATGAAAAACTTTTTAGTTTTGAAGTAGAAGAAAAATTAATAATTATTTTAGTTATTTATATATAATAGAGATCAATAATGAAATTGATTAGTCTTAAGAGAGAACTAAAAAATTCTATTTCTGATAATAATGATAAATTTGAGTATAAAAAAGAAGAATTAATTGATCAATTTCTATATATATTATACAAAAAAATGAGTAGCTTATAATAAAAGTGAAAATTCAAGAAGAGTTTATAAAAATAAATAATGAAATCATTAAATAAGAAAAGAAAAAAAGAATTTAATAAGAAAGATTAGAGAACTATGATACTTATATTTATAGCATAAAAGAACATGAATATCTTTAATGCAAAATAAAATAAAATATATATAATTAATTAGAAATACTATTATAACTATTACTTAATATTACTCTAATCATGATAAAATTAGATTTGAACTTGAAATAATAATAATAGCTTTATCAAGTTTTAAATGAGTTCAAAAATCTCTTTGATATAATCTAATTAGGCTGAACTAATATATTTCAATATAAAATATACTTAGAGAAAGAAAGACCAATTATTTTTTAATTTTATCATTATAAATCCTTTATAAAAAATACTTTTCTAAAAGAAAAAATTCAGAAGATATTGAATAATAATATAATATCTTTTTCTAAGAGCTTTTAATTTGCAGCTATAGTAATAATAAGAAAAAAATGAAAAATTCTAATTATGTATAAACTACAGAAAATTGAATAAAATTACAAAGAAGAACTGATATTTTCTATCACAAATTGATAAACTCTTGAGCTCATTTAAAAATACAAAATACTTTATTATTATAGATCTTGCAAGCAGATTTTGGTAGATAAAAATATATTCTAGAGATAGAAAGGAAATTATATTCATCATTAATAAGAGCCTATTCCATTTTAATGTAATATCATTTAGGCTTACTAATACTCTAGTCATTTTTTAAAGACTAATTAATAAATAAAATCTTTAAAAAAAATATTGAGAAATTTATAGTTATATATTTTGATAATATTACTATATATTCTGAAATTTAGAAAGAATATTTAATTTATCTATAAAAGACTTTAAAAAAACTCTATTAAGCAAATCTAAAGCTCTAATCAGATAAATATACTTTTGAAAAAAACTAATTACTTTTTCTAAAATATATCATTAAGAAAGATGATATTTATCTAAATCTAGTCAAAATAGAAAAAGTACAAGAATTTTTAGTTCTAACTAATATTATTTTACTAAGAAAATTTATAAAACTTGCTTTATATTACAAGAAATTTATAAAAGACTTTGTTAAGATAGTAGTAGTCTTACTATATAAATTATTTAAGAAAAATAAAGAGTTTAAGTAAATAGAAAAATAGCAAAAAGCTTTTGAATTATTTAAAAAATATCTGATATTATTACTAATCATTATCTATTTAGATTTCACAAAATTATTTATCTTTTTCACTAATATTTCTAGACTAGAATTAGAAATTATACTAGTATAATATGATAATAAAGAAAAAGAATATATTATTACATATGCTAATAAAAGAGTTAGTAAAGAAGAAAACAAATATAATATCATAAAACTAGAATATCTAAAAGTAATTTGAATAGTTAAGCTGTTTAGACTATATTTATTATATTATTTAATATTTTATTTATCTTAATTATTAATTATTTAGTATTAAAATAGTTAATAAATAAGTTAAATTTTTCTAAAAGACTAGTATACTAGATAATAATTTTATGAGAATACAATTTTATAATAAAATACAAATTTAATAGAATCTATTCAAATATTAATTCACTTTTTAGAATATTATCTATATCCAAAAAAGAAAATGACAAAACATAAATTTGAATAATTATATAAAATTATATAATTATCTTAATATATTAATAATAACTGATAAATTCTTAAAGAAAAAATAGAAATAACTACTAATAGAATTAAAAAATTATTTTATATAAAATAATAAATTATACAAAAAAAATAAATTAATTATCTATTATTAATTATTAAATTAATAAAAGTTAAAATAATTTTCTATAATAATCATTTTAATATTATATCTGAATATTTTGAAATTAAGATAACTTATAATCAAATAATAAGAAATTATTATTGATCTCAGATATATAGAGATATAGATATATATATTAAAGCTTATAATATATATTAATAAAAAAATAATTATACAAAGAATAATAAAATAATACTAATTTAAGTAAATATATTTTTTGAAAAGATTAGAGTTAATCTAGTAGAATCTCTTTTAGTAACTGATAATAGAAATTACTATATAATAATTACTATTAACTACTTAATCAAATAAGTTAAAACAAGATCTATTATAGATAACTTTGCAATTTTAATTATTTTATTTCTTTATAAAGATATAGTAATAAGATATGAATTTCTAAAAGAAATACTAAGTAATAGAGAAATTATATTTATTAATAAAATAATAAAAAAACTATTAAAAAAATATTAGATCAAGTATAAACTTTTTGCTTCTTATTATTCTTAGATAAATAGACTAATAGAAAGATTAAATTGAACTTTATATATTTTACTATCAAAATATATTTAGCTTTATAAGAAAAATTAGAACTATTATCTATCTTTAATTTTTACAGAATAATAAAGTAAAGTATAATTTTATTTGAACTCTTTTAATTAGTATATTATTAATAAGTAATCATATCATTAGATATTAAATTAAAAGATTTTGATAATCTCACTTTTGAAGAAACTCTTATTAAAAGAATATATGAATTAATTAATAAACTCAAAATTATATGAAAACTAAGCTCTTAGCAATATTCAAAAGAAATAGTTCAAATAAAAAAAATAGTATAATAAAAAATAAAAGTTAATAATTTTTCAGATAAGACAGAAAGTATTAATAAAATAAATAAAAGTTCAATATTAATATTATGATAAATTTAATAAAAAATGAAAAGAACTATTCTATATTCATGAAGTCTATAATAAAGATATCTATAAACTTAGAAATCTGAATAACAAAGTTTTAAAAAATTTCTACAATAGTAATTATCTGAAATTATATATTGAGTTTAATAATTTAGAATCAGTTATTATTATTAATAATAATTAAAAGATTTATAAAATAAATCTCTTAAAGTCAGAGATTCTATAATTAATTATCTATTTATGTAATATAATAAAAGTAATACAGTAACATGACATAGCTATAGTATATGATAGTTATTAATTACTATTAAATTAAATAAAAAAGAAATTTATATTAATTAATTTAATTTATTTTTAATCTTATTTTTTAATTTATTTTATTATCTATATTTAATCTTATTCTTTTATTAAATTAGCTATATATATTATATCTAGTAATGAGAGTTGTAACTAGCTACAACTCTATCATAATTTTCTGATTGGCTACTGCAAGTTGCAACTAGTTGCAGAACTATCTTTAATTATATCTAATTTATAATTTTATTAAATTAATAATTTTTTAATTAGTTATTATTAATTTTTCTTTCTTTTCTTATTTTAATTATAAATATCTTTAATATTTCACTAATTTTAATTCTTAATTATTATGTATTTAATTTAGAAAATATTATTTATAATTATTTTTTTGAAATTTTACTTATTCTTAAGTAAATTAGATGAAATATTATGTTAAAAATAATTTGTAATTAGCATAATAAGAAAATATTATATATAAAGAATCAAGAAGTGATCAAGAAGAATAATTAAGTTTGATAAAAATAATTAACTACTAAGTTAAGAGTAGTTAATTGATATTTTCTTTAATAAATATGCATATTTTATCATATATTTTATTTTATTTCTTCTTGTTTTATTGAGAAAATAATTTTGTTAGAAGTAAAACTTATATATATTATCTTATTAAGAAAATAAAAAAGCTTATTATTATAATAGTAATCTTTTTAAATTTTTTTTTAATTATACTAGTACTTTTTCTCTTACTTAGTTTTATTTTTTTGACTATATAAAGTTAATTTTGATTTGAATATAATATTATATTAATTTTTAATTTTTAATATTATTTTATATTAAAATCATAAATATTATTAATTATTAATTCTTTAATTTCTTTTCTGAAAGATTTTAATTATTTATAATTTTAAAATCTATCAAATAATTCTAATTAATATTCAATATTTTTAATTTTATCAAAAAGATTTCTTGTTTTCATCTCATAAAGACTCAGAAATAGTTAATATAACATCTAATATATAAAGAAATATATAAATTAGATATATTATATAATATTATTCTAATTATGATCTCTCTCTCTCTCTTTCTCTAATTATCTTATTGATAATTACTATTACTCTAATTAAAGTATAAAATAATAATAAAGATGAAAAGAAAAGGACTGTTCATGATAACTAAAAATAAATTTATATTATAAATATATTATAATAAATATTTCTGCAATATATAAGAGTAGCAATCAGATTTCATGATCCAATCAAAAAATTAGACTATGTAGCCAATCAGAACTATGCTCTAGAAAATTCTGAACGTGTATCACATTGCTGATCCTTTCAATTCTTAAACATCAATATTTAGAAATGTACTAGACTGTAATCATATCAAGTAAATTCTAGATTACGTACTCATTAATTAATTCGGCGTTATTTTATTAATTTTAGCAGTTCAAATGGATTTCGAAAATTTTTATATTATATAAATATTTAACTAGCATATACAATGTAAGATTCAAAATTTCATCCCTTTCCAATCAATTATCCTTATCTTCATCATCAACATAGTTGGCCATAGGATCCTCATATCTATTAATAAGACACATAAAAGATCGTTAAAAAATTCAAATACAATAGTAAATCATGTGAAATAAATACTCACGATATTTTTTTAAGACGATATGCTTCCAACTCTTCCTCAGTAACTTCTGCCTCTTTGGCAGACCGGGTATTCAATTTATTGTTATAGGCACTATTATATGGTCGTTTCCTATCATCCAATTCTTCAGCACCCATTTGTAAATTAAGCCTTCGTCGTTCATTATCTAATGCCTTCTTCAACTTCTTTTTATCTAATTGGATATCCCCTTCACCCAATCCTTTGCGTTTCAGATGACTATTGATGTCTTTTTCTTCAATTTCTTCTTTGATACTGCTGGCAGATTTTTTGAGTTTTTCGGCATGGATTTCCATCAATGTTCTTGTTTGTTCGGTTTTTTCGGAGGTGGAAGAGCTGGATGTTGTCTGGCTATTCGATTCATATCTCTGAGCAGCAAATTTAGCAGAATTGGCAGCTTCGATTCCAATCAATCCTGTACAATATGAATTTTTCATGAAAGATCGACAACATTTATAGCCCCAACGACCATCGGCCCAAAATGAACCCCACACTGTAGTATGATTATTAATGAATACTGAAAAAAAGAAACGATTAATTAATAATCCAGAGAATTATAAAAATCTGGTTCCTTTAATTAGAATCAAATATCCTTCACTAGTTTGAATAATCTTGCAGTAAAAAGTTTGCTGTTTTAGAAAGTATCTCGGAAACTACACTCAAGGCATTGGCGTTAAGATCGTAGATATTTTAAAGATGTCACATTCAAACGAAATTCAGCTTCAATCATTTATGAATGATATGAGCAACTTTAAAATCCACATCCAAATTTTCAAAGTGTAGGTCGTTGATATTGCAACCACATCAGAAATACTATCATCCAAGTTTTGAAAGATAAATAAGAATACTCACCGTCTTCTTCATATTTGGATTTAGCCTTTGCTCTTTCTTGTCCTTTAATTATTCTTCCAGTTCTCGAATATTCCACATAACTTTCGGTTTGAGCTAATAAGAGTTCTTTAGGTGGTGCATTCAAATGTTCTTCACCGCCATACGTTGCTAGAATCGAGTCTTTACTCGTATCCTTAAGTTTCTCTTTTTTCTGAAGATACTCTCTATGTAATAATTCGCCTTGGGTCGGATTTGCTTGTAAGTGAACATCATTTCCCTTTTCATAAGCTTGCCAAGCAAACAATTGCAAGTTTGCCATTTTTGGAGCATCTCCAGTGTATCGCACGAAATTATCACCGGCATAAACAGCCTAGAGTATAAAAACAACAATATATAGAGTAATGTATTTCTATGATTAATATATAAATATTTAAAACTTACATCTTCTTCATCTTTTCCTATGTTAGGATTGTCGCGCATAGAACGCGTCTTTGGATCATAATAAGCTGAATTCAAATCTAAATTCCGTAGATATTTTGCTGTATCTTCTCGAATTCTGTTAGAAAATAATAAAAGTATTATTATAAAATTCATCAACTACAAAGACTAAAAACATTTTAAATACCTTAAATTTCTTATAGTAGTTCTCGTTTTAGTATTTACTTTTTGTCCCGGCATATCTGAAGTCTCCGCATATTTATCTTCATCTTCTTCTTCCTCATCGCTAGAGAATTCACCATTAACACGTTCACCAGTCTTCTTGACTAACTCAGTAGTGCTTTGTTTATCGAGTTCACTCGATTTCAGTTTGCGACGAGCTTCTTCAATTTTTTCATATTCTATTTTTTAACGAATAATGTAATAAATATTATTAATAGGAGAGCTTCAAAATTAAAAACAAAATTCTGAATTCAATTATCTACCTTCATATATTTTTGCATGTTCTGCTGGGTCATAGCCATTCCACCGATCCCGCTTAGCATCATAGTCTAATTCTAATTCTTCAATTATTTCATCGGGCTAATAAAAACGCAATCAATAATCACATTTAATTTTATTTGTAATTTTCTAAAATCATTTCTACTGTTACCTTTATATCTTGACCTGACCATCTCGCTTTTGTTTTTCTTGGCCGATCCATGCAATCTTTTGTTTTATGAGTCATGGCACCACAATTTTCACAAGCACCCTTACGATATTTTGTAGCTGCAGGTCCCTTTTTTTGGAAACAATATATTAGAAATTACATAAACTTACCAATTAAGAGAGAAAAACAAAAACTTACAGCTCGAAGACCACGCGAATACCATTTTTCCGCAGGTTTCTCCTCGGTTTCTTTATTTTGGACTCTTTGATGTTTTAAGGTAGGTCTTCCGGTATCAATATACCCTATGCGTATACAAAATCAAACAACTATTTATTCACAGATCATATGGAATAGCAAAAAAAAAATTGTTTCTCGAAGCCTACATGGTGCTTTAGCAATATACTGCGGTATGTGGGGATTGATATCTTTTCCTTCTTCATCCTGTTCTGCAGGAGCGGTACCAGCTTTTCGCGCTGCTTCAAGATCTTTTTGTCTGCGATAATCTTCTCTGCTAAGTTTATTGGCTATAAAAGATAAATTTAGTGTTTAAATTAAGATACGGACAACTAAGTCTTAAAAAGCATGAGCTTACTTGATGTGTATGAAATTGTGGACATTGGTAAAATACTCTGTTAAAATATTTATTTTTCAAATTAAAAAGTGATAGTGACAAGTTGAAAGGCCAAGAAAAATGGTCCGGTGTATCTCCAAATTGCAGATCGCAAAATCATGTGTTTCGATTTTGATTGGCTGATAGTTCAAAACAGCCTGAAGGGATTTACAATGTTAAATTAAACTTTGTAGAAAAAATAATAATGCGAGTTTACATGATGAAAAATTTGGCTATTACTATTAAGATTTATATTAAAAAAGCCTAGCTACAAATAATTTTAATAATTATATATTTAAAATAAATTTTTTTTATAAATATATAGCAATTTATATTATTTATATTATAATCTAATAAATATAATACTGTATTTTTATTATATAAAATTCTATTATATTAAAATTATTATTATTAAGTAAAAGTTTAAAATAGAAAATTAATAAAAAATAAACTTATATCAAAAAAATAATAATTTTTTAATATACTTTTTATAAATAATAATTTTAAAATATTATTTAATTTAGTCTGATTAGTAAAAATATTCTTTATAAATTAAATAATTATTAATAAAAGAAGAAATTAATTAGTAAAAGATAAATATTTTATAAAATTAAATTTAATAATAACTTATTAAAGTAAATTTAATTAATTAAATACTTTCTAAAAATTATAATAAATTAGATTATTAATAAATTAAGAAAAAGTTTTATAATTTTTATTATAAAATAATTTACAAAAAATTTAAATTCAAGTAAAAAAATATTTATTATTTTATTAAAAAAATATATTAATTATTAAAAAAATAAATATAAAAATATTAATTAAATTTAAAAATAAAAAAGATAAATATTTATATAAATAAGAATAAAAAAAAGTTTTTTTTAATAATAATATAAACTTTCACTTTTAATAAAAATATAAAATCTTATATTTAATTAATTAAAATTAAGTAAAAAATTAATTTAAATAAATATTTAATTTAATTGAATATATAATATATCAAAAAAATTAGAAATTTTAATTTTAGTTATATTTAATAAATATTTATTTAATTTATATAAAATTTTAAATATATATACTTGATAATCTAGTAAAAAAGTTTACTTAAAAGTATTT